GTGCTTAACCCCAAACCACCCAATTCCAGATGCGATAAGATGCGAGGGGTCAGCCCTACGGGATCAGCCACAGGATATGAAGTGCACAACTCTGGAACGAAGAACCCTCAGTTCGATGACTTCATGAAAGAGGTGGGCTTGTCCAAAAAGGGGAGGGATACCCCATTTCAAAGGCCACTTTCAAAGGGCAAATCATGTTCTTTACCATAGAAAAGTTGTGTTAGATTCAGTCAAACCCAGGTGGCCAATTTCGTCAAAGAGCTTGTTGCTACTGTCCATACTTCTGGAGATGTCTGGCCCCAGCGGGTGCTTTGTGCTACTCACTTCATCAGCTGCCTCTTCAAGCGATGGAGCTTCGTGACGTTGACCTCCACCAGCTGGTTCAGCTGGGGGGACAGCCATTTTCACCAGGCTCTACTGGCGTGCCGCGACCAATTTGCCCGAGCTTTAGAGAGAAGCGGGGGGAGGATGGACCTTTATTTGAATCGTCTGAGTGACCAAAGCCTCCGGTTGCTGATGAAGCAACTGGAGATGTTGGCTTCACGGGAAGAAGCCTATGCCCGGGAATTGCCATATGTGCGGCTTCTGGAAATGGCCATCGCCGTGTCGGGGCGACTGCGCAAAGAGTTGCCCCTATGGGAGTCGAAGGTGGGAGATCCAGAGAATAAGTTCTTCAATCTGGATGCTTGGATGAAGTTATCACCACGATCGTTGAACATGTTGAGCATTGTTGAACATTGTTGAACATTGTTGAACGTTTGTCTATCCTTGTCATGTGACAACCGTGACAAGCACAATTTTGCTGCTAATTCCTTGGGTGCTGATGATCTGTTCCGAGCTCTGGATTTGCACCAACATGACTTCATCCAACAGTTTTCTCAGCAGCTCTCGCTCCATTTAGTAAAGTAGATGTCCATGATGTCAAGGATGTCCAGGTTCCCTTCACTCCTTTTTGACTGTGCTGCGGCTGGTGATTTGAAAGCCATCAAGTTGGGTCCATTGTTACCTGTCCAATGTATCTTCATTTCTTCAAGTTATGCCACTTTTCTTTGTAACACCGGACTGCTCCTTGCCACAAGTTGGGATACGGGGCTCTTACAAGTATGGTGTGCACTTCCAAGTACACCCTCCAAGTCTTGGTGTGTATTGAACCGCATGACTTGACCCATCAGGAGAATGTATTGAACCAATGTGCATATCAAGCAGCAGATCGGAAAAGATTCATCTTTGAGCCTTGGCGCGTTGCCCATGGTTGAACAATACAGATATATATATATAGCTCCAAAAAAAGATGCGGACAAGGGTCAAGACGGTGTTTCCAGGATGCTGTGGATGATATTTTCTTCCAATTTCCGGGGTTCCAAGGTGCTTTCGGCATTGACCTTTGGGGGTACTTATTGTAGTAGATGAGTCGATTGGTGGCATCGCATTCAGCCATTTGGCCCTGCTATTTGCTTGGGTGTTGGAAAGACATCATTTTTCATAGCTGATGGTGCTAATGCATGAGCATTTGCTGTAGTGTGTCTTGGATAAAGAACTGAGGGGTGCAGCAAATCAGAGTTTCCCTTCGAGTACGCATCGTAGACTCCTTGCTTGATATGACTTGGGCCCCTTTTGCACTGAAGCCATGGACCAAATAAGTTGGTAGCTCTGGGAAGGTAGCCCTGTTGGAAATCCCCTGCTTGACATAGTCAGGGTTTGGAATCCCGTGGATCCCTTATGGAATCCCGTAGTCTACGGGACTGGGGTACCTCTAGAAAGCCTACAGAAAGCCGTGAGGAGGTAGCACCCTACATGGCCTTGGCCGCTTTTACAGCATGTCCTGCGAATGAAGGAGCGAAGCGCTTGGTGGTCGCTCGATTTTACGAAGGAAGAAGGGGCTTTGTCCATGGTGTATACCCCCAAATCACCATTTTGATAGAGTTATAAACCATGGAATCCCATGGGAATCTTGCAGGTGCCCAATTGACAAACCCAGGTTGCAAACCCAAAGTTACGGGAGGTTGCAGGAACTCACTTCATCAGTTTGCTCATTTCGTCGTTTCGGTCGGGTTTTCTAGTGTAATATGCCCTATTATATAATTAGCCTGGCTTCCCATTGTCACGAAGTTCTCTCCATCTCACAGCAAACCTGCTCAGCAAGACAAAACAGATAAGTTGGTGAATTTCTTCATACTCTAGAGGGGTGTCACTTGCTATCTCTGGTGAAGCATTTCCACAGGGACCATGTGACAGTTTGGAGATGATCTCGCAGCAGCCATGATTTGTATTCAACTCCTCAGAATTCCCGGCACTTGGGGTCAGTTTGCAGAATGCCCGGCACCACCTTGATATTTGGGAAGGCACCGGACCCAAAGGTTCTGTTGAAGATTGAATAGATCGACTCGAGGATTGCATTGATATGGTGAAGGACAACTTCTCAGGAGACTACAAATTTGTGGACAGTTTGCGCCTGGCCTATGCGTGTTGCGAAGGCAAGGGAACTTCTTGGATCGCATTC